TTTTTTTAAATTAAAGATAGAGAAGACACCAAACGGTAAAATATTTAATGTATTCATATTGTTTTTAATAAAACTCTTGAATTTAGTTTTATCTAAAGGGAAAGGAGAAGTTGTTAAGACTTTCTTCAAATCCATGAATATTAAATTTCTTTTTTTTTCATTTTTAGTTTTTATATTTTTAAAAAACAAAAATATGTATTATAAATAAGAAAAATGTTATTTTTGATTAAAATTTATTTATTTGTTATTATTTCGTTATAGTTTATTTTATCATTTCTTAGCAATTCTTTCTTATTTTTATTCATAGAGAATTATAAAAAGATGAAAGATATTGATTTTTTTTATTTTGAACTTCTCTATATTTTATTCTTCTTAGAGTTTTTAAATATGTTTTTTTATTTCTTCATTCTTTTGTTTCATTTATTAAATGATATATTGTTATTTTGTATTTTTGTTAATAATTTCATTAATAATTTAAAGGCTGAATATTTATTTTGTCTTATTGATATTATTTGATTCTTATATTATTAAAATGTATTGTTCTTTAATCAACTTCTATTTTAGATAAAAACATAAATTTCATTAATAACTGATCAATAATGTAATATATTCTAATTTGTTCAATGAATAAAATAATATATGAGAAGTAATAAAATATTATTCAGATAATTTTATTCTTCTTTATCTTTACTTTGTGCTAGACTATTTGTTTTATTATTTAATACTCACTCATTTCTATTTTATAATATAATAGAACATTTTCCTCTTTATAGTACGTTATTTCTTATTGTAGTAATATAAATTTTATTGATCTTTTTCCAATTCAGGAAATACAACAAATTTTAATACTGTGACTATTGTATAAAATATTAGGGTAGTGTAAAGAAAAGCAAACAAGTCATAGAAATTCAATGTCAATAACAATGAATGGCATAGCAATAATAATAAATAAGAAAGAAAACAAAAGAAAAAACTAAAGACAAGGAAAGAAATACATAAGAATAGAATTAAGAAATTATAAAATACTAATAAATATCTTTAAGTAATAAACAGAAATATTCGCATAAAGTATAGTTTATAAAAACCAATTTGTAATGATGATACTTTCAATTAGAGTTTATAATTCACCTGAATCTTCAATTATAACAGGTTTAGTTGTTTCTCCTGAACGATTTCCTTGATTCATAACTTTTTCACAAACATCCATTCCTTCAATTACTTCACCAAAAACAACATGTCGTCCATCTAACCAATAAGTAGGAATCATTTCAATGAAAAATTGGCTGTTATTAGTGTTTTCACCGTAATTAGCCATTGAAACCAATCCTTTCTTAGTATGGTTTAATACAAAATTTTCATCATCAAACATATCACCATAAATACTTTCTCCACCAAGTCCATTTGCACTAACAATATCTCCTCCTTGAATAATAAATCCTGGTATTACACGATGAAACTTAGTTCCTTTATAATGAAGTGGCATTCCATATTTTCCTATTCCTTTTTCACCTGTACATAGTGCTCTGAAATTTTCTACAGTCTTAGGTACTATTTCTCCATAAAGACCAATTACAATTCTTCCAACTTTTTCATATCCAATACGAATATCTAAAAACACTTTGTTAGTAATTTTTGGTTGTACTTTAGGTGGCGGTTGTGGTCCTCTTTCATTCTCAGCAAAAACAGTTAAAACGCATAATAAAAATAAGAAACGCATATTATTTATTTACGTTTATAATTTCTTAGTTCATTTAATTAAAACAACTCACTTATTAAAAAATTAAAAAAAAATATGGAAAAGAATTCAATTAAAAACTTACTGTGAACCAGCAGCAAGTTTTGATTGAAGTTCAGCAATTTGAGCATCTTTCTTTGCAAGTTCTGTTTCAAGGTAATTAACTCTATTCTTGAGTTGTTCCCATTCTTCTCTAATTTCTTTATCACTCTTTGGAGCTTCAACCTTTTTAACAACTGGATTGAATGAGGCAACAGGTTTTTCTGGTGGTACATATCCAGGAGCAAAGTTGAATGACATGTCTGGTTCATTAGAAGTACCTTCTTTCCATTCGTTAGCAGTTTCAACAGGAATACCAGCATATGTATTTGGGAAAATATCATCTTGGAAGATTTCTGATTTTCTTGGTACACAGAAAGAGACTGGAACAACTCCATCTCTAGTAACTTTCATAAATCTAGTAATTTCACATGTTGTGGTATTGCAAACTCTCTTTGGAATAACTCCAAGTCCAGATTGTGGTTTTTCTCCTCTGAAAGTATTAAGAGAATAGAAATATGGTTTTTCATGAACAATTTCAAAGTATGAAATTCCTGAATCACCTTTACCTCCAAGATAAAGAATAGATGAATCTGGATCATAGAATGGCATAAGAACACCTGATTGATTATCAACTGTATGTCTACAAAGTGGTGTAGCAAGATTTCTTGGATCCCAGAATGCCATTTCTCTTTCAGCATTTCTTGAAAATCCAGTTGTAAA